CTCATTTAATAATAACCGTTAGATGAGAAAATGAACGATTAAGATGGGTTAGCATAGTTTGCACAAAATATTGGGTTAGTATTTGAACCAGCCCCTATATATATATATATATATGTGTGTGTATATATATATATATATATATATAGGTTACTTTGTGTAACTTTTGTGAAAGAATCAAAATTTAAATATGAAGGGAACTAAAAATCTTGGAATAAGGTTGAAGCAAAGCTTGCATCCCTATGCCACAGCCCACAGGTACCAAACTTGAATCTGGAGCTCGTGCAATGTGAAACTAATTAATTCATTGGAGTCTTTAAGTAAATTGGTGATATTATTCTTTCCAACAGCCCTTATACTTCTTATAGAGCCTAATGGTCGGTTTCCAAACAATTCTTTATTTCTTTTATAGGTTGTTAGATATACTAATGTGAGATATGGAACAGGTCCCCCATAATTTTTAGGGTCTAATTATAATGTTTTAGCCTTTTTACCTGATTATACGAGTTTTAACATGTAGTCCACTTATAATGTCTTAGCCTAATTTTATGTGTTAGCCTTTCACTCTTTTAGCCGATTTGGGAATTCCCAGTTCCACCACAATCTCTTCTCCCTAGCTCTCTGGTCTCTATTGGTAATTTCTTTGATTCCATCTATCAATTATCGTAATTTTTTACATTTTGTTTTATTTATTATTCGTCTAGTCGATCTATAGTATTGGTTTAACAAGGACTTCAAAATTATTGGTGAACTCACCCTAGTCTTGACCACATGGCTAAGGGTCACGAGTCTAGGTCTGGTCGTCTACTGCTCCACAACACATTCCTCTGACCTGGGGTAGCAAACTTGGTGGCTGAGTGCGCGACTTGGCCGCACGATACACAGATCGTGGGCTAGGTCACGGACACAAGTGGTTGTCAGCATGCCAGATTTCGATATTTTGGATAATCAAAAGCACATAATTCGTGAACTTGCACCAAAAATTGCAAGTACTTGTTAGCTTCATCAAGGTCACTCCCTTCTCTGCTCCAAACTAAATAAACCCGGTAAATCTGCAGGAGTAGGGAACCCAAATTTGTTCTGTGAAGGCTCTCTTTAATTCTCTTGTACGTTTGGTATGCGTGACAAGACGGGACAGAAACTTGTGGTCCCATTTTTGGCATGATATTAGATTGAGACAAACAAAAATGCACTTTTTTGTCCCATCAAAATAAGTGGAACAACAAATTAGGGAGATGGAGACAAAATTGGTAAACATCGGAACTACCCATATCAAATTAAAACCCCCAAAGCCTTCCACAATTCTTTCACCTGTCTACATCATTCTCGTCCATCCAATACATTTCCATCCAGGGATAGAAACTAAGCGGATGCTTACAGGATCACTTACTTTACTGGGTGAGCATGACAAGGACCGGTAATCTTACCCGATAAGAGGCATGACAACAACAGAGGTTCTTACCCGATAAGTGAGGGAGAAAACTCTTATCGGTTAGCGCTTACCGGGTAAAAAACGCTTACAAACAATTCATTTTAATCACCGAGAATGTTACTTGACATGGTATGTAAGATGATAGCTCTTTGCCGGTAAATGTTCACCGAGTAAGCATTTGGTTAGGAGGGAAGGAAGAAATTTGAATTGTTTGTAGTAGTTTTGGATAGAAACGAAGCATGGACTGTCCACCTCGCACATGGAGTATTGAAATGTCAACGCTTGTCTCCCCTTTGACTTAGTATTCAGTGCCGACCACTTCTGGTCAAGCTAGTATTACTATGCCTAGTTTAAACTTCTAACAGCTGTTTACACTACAATATATATATACACATATATATACACACACACATATATCTTTTGATTTCTCTCATATTTTCTTCTATTTGAAGCTACTTTTAAATTGTTAACACGGTTGAGTTGACTACAAAGGTTCCTTCTTGGTAGGACACCTACAAACTCCTCAACTTTACCCCTTGTTTGGTACATATGACAGATAATGATGTAGGCGGGTTGGCAGGTGAGAGATTTTTGGAAGGTTTCACAGTAATATGACATGGGTACTTTAGTAATTTGACAATGTTGTCTAATATTTCTGATTTTTGTTTCACCTATTTTGATGTCCCACTCAAGCCCTATCTTGACACGAGACTGGACCGGATTGTATTGAACAGGCGAGAATGATGTGGACGGGTGAAAGAGTTGTAGAAGGTTTCAGATGTTTTGATTTGACATGGGTAGCATAGTAATTTATCAATCTCAGATGGAATTGGAAAGTGGCAAGTGGTATGGAGTTGTCTTCTAAGTTGTCAATTTATTGTTGTTAGGGAACGCGTTCCGCAAATTAGGAGCTGAGAAGGGGGCACAAGTTGAGGAATAGACCGGACGGACAGTGAGGGTGGGAGTGAGAATTTTCGAAGGTTTTAATTTGACATGGGTGTTTTAGTAATTTATCAATCTCATCTCATCTCCTCTCCTTGATTTTTATTCGACCTATTTTGGTGGTACAGAAAAATATACTATTTTGTCTCACTCAAGTCCTGTCTTGTTTTAGTTTAATGTCATATAGCCTCATCTCTTGTCTTGTGTACCAAACGCACCCTTTAACATCTCAAGGTGATTGTTTAGGTAGCATTTACACTACAAATAAGTTAAAATCTTGATAGATATCCCAAAGTCAAAACCTCTTTTAAACATGGATATTAAAGAAGAGCACGTGACTGTCTGTCTACCACTTGAATCGATCTCATGGCTAGTTCTATATTCATCTCAAAGAGCACGTGACTACCCCTGATTTCAATCCAATTCGCACTTGTATATTCATCTAAAACCTTCACTCGACTTCAATTCTTTAATGGTATATAAACCCTTCACTACCCATCTCGCTTTCTTCATCCAAACCCACTTCCTTTATTCACATCTGAATAATCTTTCTACATAGTTATGAATACGCTACAGTTTTACTTGCTAGTTCTTCTAATCATCCTCCAATATACAACTGGCAATGCCGCCGATCCTGCTGCCATGAACTACGTCACCGCCTCATGTAAAACCACCCGCTACCCATCTCTCTGTGTCCGTTGTCTCTCAACTTACGCTCGTTCCATCCAAGGAAACGATCAACTCCTGGCTAAAGCCGCCATTTCCGTCAGCCTGAACAACGCCAAGTCCGCAGCCGCATACGTAACCAAACTGTCTCGGTCATCTGGACTGAAACCGCGAGAGTTTCAAGCCATGAAAGACTGTGTCAACGGCATGAACAGCTGTGTGCCGAGCCTGAACCAGTCGGTTCTGGAGCTCGCGAAGATGGCTCGATTGACGGGTCAGAATTTCGAATGGCACATGAGCAATGTGGAAACTTGGGTTAGTTCAGCACTCACAAATCAAAACACTTGTGCTAGAGGATTCTCTGATGGTTCAATGAATGGACCTGTGAAAGATGCTGTGATTAGGAGGATGAGTTATGTGGCTCAACTCACTAGTAATGCACTTGCTTTAGTGAATAGGTTTGCTTTGAGGCATAAAGCAGGTACCCATTTGCCTTGAGGATTTATGGTTAATTTCTAGCATTAAATACCACATAGATCAGGGATTTTTTTTATGGAAACAACGGTTTTACTTTCTGGGATAGAGAACACGCCTATACACATTCCACCTGTCAACACTTACTTTTGAACGAGATATATTGAATTAGTTTGATTTGGTTTAGTTACCATATAGATAAGGTTATTCACTTATAATAAGTTTTCTGGTTTTTTTCACTAGTTTGTATTACTGGTTTTCATGCAAAAATGCTTTCTAAGGGCCTATATCTTAGTAGCTTAATGAGCTTTAACTAGACTTGCAGTGTATTCGGTCAATTATACATGACTGTTTGTTAGTGACTTAATGATATAAAAAGTGGCTTATTTAGTAAGCTTCTAATCAAAGGAGGTCTTTAGACAGAAAGCCAAGTTTTTTTCTTCCAAATATGCCCCTCCCAATTAAAAAAAATGCTTCTTTCATCCATGAAAAAACCTTGCAAAACAAAAATGTTCTCAATCTATATAGACACTTAATTCATACATGTTAATGAAAAACTAACCAAATAGCACTTATATTTTCTAGAGTAAATTACATTTTTGGTCCCTGTGATATACCAAATGTTTGGGAATTGTCCCTCAAAACACATTAATTACATTTTTGCTCATTGTGGTTTGTATTTCATTACGCATTTGGTCCTTTCAGATAACTCTTCAAACAATATTATATTAAGTAAGAGGTATTTTGGTTTTTCCCATATTTCTCTTCCTTTAAGAAAATAGTTACACACACACACACACACATATTCCCATCTCGTAGGTACCCCATCCTTGGCCCCATGTCACCGTGACTCCATCTTTTTACCCTCCAATCTCCATCCGCATCTCGATGTGGCTCCATCTCCTTACCCTCCATCCCCATCAAGGGTGGATCTATCTTGGGACAATGATGGGCTGTCGTGGTGAAAAAAGTTTTACATTTTTTAAGAGTGTTATTATAATGTTTTGTTGTGTGTTCTTATATTTTCTAAAACTAAATTTATGCCAAAAGTATATGATGGTTGAGATGGTCTAAATTGTTGGATTAAGGTGTCTTATTTGAAAGGCCGCGGGTTCAAATCATGTTTTTAGCAATTTTCTAGTTTCTCACCTTTTAATTTTCGGTTTAATTTGTATCCCTTTTGTTGAAAAAAAATGGAGCAAGAAAACTTGGAAAAGGGTTGAACCCATGACCTTCACTTGCAGAGGATAGCAACCAACCAACCAATCTTATCATGATTTTGTGGAAATTTTCATTAATTAGTTTTCACCTCTATGGTCAAATGTTGTCATCGGTTGAAAAATATTTTGGGTCCACCTTTGATCTCCATTTTGTTGTACAACACACTCATCCACCGATGTCGATTACATCAAAACCCATTTCTGAGTCCCTCCATCTCCAAACCCACGTCACCACAACCCAATTATTCTCAAGATGATGATGATGATGATGATGATGATGATGATGATGTAAAGTAAGAATTGCACAAAAAAGTTCAAATAATTAATCGGATGAGAAGGTGGGTTTTGATGTGAACATGATCATGTTTTGTTTTTTTTATAACAAGCACAATGTGATCAAGGTGGGTTTTGATGAAGACGAGGCTTTTTCTTTTGATGAAGATGATGAACCCGTAGTTGTATTTTGTGTTTGGCCTCTCTGTTCTCGATTTGAAACCATACAAAATCGTAGAAAATGACAAAGGGTGGTGTTGATCAGTGGCGGGTGTGATCCACCATTGGATCGAAGAAAATGACTGGTAGTGGGTGGTGTTGGTCTTAAGTCATCGGGAACGAGAGGTATTTTGGTCTTTTAGCCTCACTTGGTGGATTTGATAACAGTAATGAAATGTAAATCAAAATGATCATAAATATAAGCAATACGTTTAAAAAGAGAATATCTAGATTTTGGATATACCCAAAGACCAAATATTGCTATTATACATTTGTACATTTGTGTTACAAGAACACAAATCGATGAGCAATTGAACTTAAGTCTATCAGACTTGGACTGTATTAAGATTTTTCCGAACCATATTAATCAGGCTCCACCAAACTGGGTTTTCTTGGAACCATATCGATATAATCGATGCCTTTTTTTTTTTTTTTGCATAAAGATAAAATAGTAATCTTTATGCATAAAGATAAAGTATAAATGTATATAACATTGTTTCTTCCTCATTTTCTATGACGATTAATGCACTTCTTTTATATTTATTAATATTGATTTATTAAATTAATATAGAAAACAAAATATCAACAACCTTTTTATGATAATAAAATAATTTATTATTTTTTTAAAATAATAAATTAAAATAATAAATTATTTTATTATCATAAAAAAGGTTGTTGATATTTTGTTTTCTATATTAAAGTTTATACTATTATGTGGTTATCGTATAATATATTTGTTGGCTCATTCGATCGCCAGATACCAATAAAAAATAGTATTCAAAAGTAGTCGGCATAGATCTTTAAAATAAAATAATACTTCTTTATTTTTAAAGATATATATATATATATATATATATATATATATATATATGATTTTGTATATAATTGAATAATTGGTTTTATTAATAACTAAAAATCTAAAACATTATAAAATGTACCGACTCTTGCCAACGAAATACGCATCTTGGATTGACCGGTCTCATGGCCTATCTGGTATTGCATAATTAAGGGATGTTTGTTTATCTTTTAATAGTTTTATTAAGAAACAGTTTTTGTATTATGAATTTTGTTTGTCAAAAAATTTTTGTCTCTTAATGGTTCTGAAGCGTTCTGAATTATTTTGTATCTTGGGCATCTTTTAACCATTCAACGCAATAATTTTATTGTAAACAATTATCAAACAATTATATTTTATTTTACATTATATCATGAGAGCCTCTTAATCATTCTATATCAAACCATTTAACAACTACTAAACAACTCCTTAAGAGAATTTGATGAAATTTGAAATTAGATTTATTTTAATTTTGTAATTGGTCTAAAAAGTATTTAATTAGAATTTCATAAATATTAGATTTAGAAATTACGTTAAGATAATTGGTATTTCATAGAATTTCATAATAATTGCTTATAATAATATTTTATAATATGTTAAATAATTTGTAACAATCAATTAATAAAAGACGGTAATTTAGTTATTTCTAAAAAAATTGTAAATTATTTGTAAATAGTGGAATTTCATTCGATTAAAAATCTTACAAACCAAACATAACAAATTAAGATTTCAAATCCTTTTACAAAAATATTATGTTGAACCAAACAGCCTCCTAGAGACGATCAATTTGATTGATAGAAAATATCATTTTATCTATCGTATTATACCATAAATCCAGGTCTTTCATTTATTAAGTCCTGATATAAATTAAAATCAGTTTCTAAAACTCGGTAAACGTTAAAATATAAAAAGAAAATTTGACTAAATAGTCAATATCCCTCAACCAAATTCACTTTTTAGTTATTTTTACAATCGAAATCTCATTTTAGCCAAAGTTTATGCAAATGTTCTACGTATTTATATAAAATCTATGTTTAGGAGTAAAAAATGAGAAAAAAATATCTCTACACAAATTAAGGCAATTTGCGTAAGGATCTTGAATAAGGAATTTGTGTAAACAATTTTTTTTTTATTTTCAAAATAGGTTTAATGCAAACGCATAAGAAATATCGTAAACTTTGGTTAAAATGGGAATTTGATGTCATAATGGTTAAAAAGTGAATTTGATTGAGCAAATTGGCTATTTTGGTAAATTTCCCGTATAATCATAAGTACTTTAAAAGAAAATATATATATATATATATATATATTTTAAATACAGTTAAGATGACGTTAAAAGAACGAGTAGATAGCAATAATAGTGAGATAAGGTGGGGAATGGTTATGTAGATGTGACAAGAACCCGTCGGTGCTTCTAAACAAAAAGAACGTGTAACAAAACAAAAATTCCAAGAACGAGAACATAAATGAATATGCGAATAACACTGTTGAACTTTAATTACTGTATAAAAATAGTATTATTTAACATATTTTAATTTACCGTAAATGTTATAACCAAAAACTAATAACGATAAAAATTTACTATAATCATTTTCAGCCAGTTACATTAGTGAATTGCTTTAATTATAAACAAAAATAAATAAAAACAATCGTCATAAATATTTTCCATAAACAGGGCCCACTATATTTAATTGGGATGCAAGGACCACACGTTGTTATCTTTAACGTGTAGGCTGATTAGAAAACCAATTTACTTTTTTTTTCATCTAAATTACGAATAATAATCGTTATAAAACACAGAAAACATTAATATCTTTTTATATGGTTGAATTTAATAAAGATTAAATAGACCATTTGAATCAAATCCATGCATCCAATCATAAGTTTAGAATTTTATTACAGAATATATATATATATATATATGTGTATATATATATATGTATGTATGGCTACATGTATGTACATGATGGAGATTGTGACATAAGATATGGTACCCACATCCATCATGTATGCAATCTTTGCCCATATATTGCAACCCATTCCTCTATTATCTTCATTCCTCTAGAGAGAGAAACAAGAGAGAGAGAGAGAGAGAGAGAGAGATATATGGGGTATGCCATTCTAACATTGCTCATATTCTTCCTAGCCATAAGCCCAACAAGATCCAACACCAATTTCATCCCCAAATCATGCACCACCACATTGTACCCTGAGCTTTGTAACTTGTACCTCTCGCGTTTCGCAACAAGAGTCGGAACCAGCCCAAGACTCTTGGCACAGATTGCACTGGCCGCGACCCTTAGTGCCACTCGAACCACTTCAACAAAACTGACAACGTATTCGAAGACCCATAAATTGACGAAGAGAGAAACGTCTGCAATGAAAGACTGCATTGAAGAGATTGGTGACTCGGCCTACGAGCTCCGCAAGTCCATGGTGGAAATGACTAAGGTCCACACTGGCTCCGGATTCCTGTTCGAGATGAACAGTATAGAAACTTGGGTCAGTGCAGTATTAACAGATGACGACACCTGCACAGATGGCTTTTCCGGGCAATATATGAATGGAGAGCTTAAAACCATGGTTCGTAAAGAAGTTCTAAACATTGCGCATCTGGCCAGCATCGCTTTGACTTTCGTCAACAAGTTTGCAAAAGGATAAACTACTAAGAGCTAAACAAATTATTTATGTAGTCAAGTTTATAAATTTTTTTCCCATCGTATTATGTCGTTGTCAAATAATGGATTCATTCGCAATATTATCATTAAGAAGTACACAATTCCCCAACATATCTTATAAAACAGTTATTCAGTATTACGTTCATATCTGTTATATTTGTTTTATATCTGGATAAAAGATTTTATTTATAAATAAAACTGTTGTCTTTAAACAAAATTATAACAATCGAAGACACAAACAATATCTGTTACGACAGTGACAAAGCGAGATGTTAATGAGTATGGTCGACCCTTTTCGATCTTTACCGCTAAAATCACGTTCACAAAATTTGATAAAAAATCGAAAATTAAAAACTAAAAACTAGAATTATAATTCATTTAAATATTCCAATCTTTATATATATATATATATATATATATATATATATTATAGCTTAAAGTCTTTAAAAATGCATAAAGAAAACATCTTGTAAAATATATATAATTATAATTATATAAAATGAAAAATAAATATGTGACTGATTTTTATTATATTTTTTAAATAATATATATATTTATTATAATAATGGCCACAATTTGGAAGGGACATACTTATTTGTCGGTTTTTAAAACATTAATGATGTGGGTCATGGATTGTGCCAACTTTACCCCCCCCCCCCCAACCAAATAAATATGCATGTTTATTTTTGTGAAAAATAAATTACAATTTTGGTCCTATGGTTTGTCAATCATAACGGTTTTCGTTTATACAAGTTTGAAGCTAAAGGTTGATTATTAATCATAAGGGTGGTGCATGATTGGTTTGAGCTTTACTTCAAGGGTCAAAAGTACCAGGACGTCTCATGTTCAAATCCAATGAGAAACAAAAATCCTCTTGTAGCCACGGAGGTTCAAATACGGTGACTCCGGGTTATCTGCAAAACAAGTAGCCGTCCTAAAATTAGTCGGTTCGCATAGCGGGTTGGATATCCAGGTTAAAAAAAAGTTGATTATTATGGTTAGTGGAGTTAGAGAAAGGGACTCAATCCATAACAAAAGTGAAACCATGGTGACCATATATGTAATTACTTCGTTTGGGAGCCCAATCCAAAATTTTCAATAACCATGGGGACTAAGTTTGTAATTTACTTTTTATTTATTTGGAAAATTGCAAATTAAATAGTTTAAAATTCATATTAAATATTTATGAATTAAACAATAAACAAAAAAATATTGGTGAATCAATCTAAGTCGACCCAACCCCTCTTAAAATTTATTTCGGATTTTTTAATAACCTTAATAGGATCCGCAGTGTATTGAGTTAACTATACATGATTGCTTGTGAGTGACTTAGGGGCTGTTTACCAAATTTTCTATTAAGTCCTGTATGGATAAATTTGGCTGTCTGGATAAATTTGGGTTGCTGTTTACTTTTCTATCTGAATCAACAGTCTGAATAACAGAAATGACCAATTTACCCCTGAGTATTAACTATGGGCTGTTAAACAAACCCAAAAACAAACACATATCGAGCTGCAAATCAGAAGCAATAAACAAATAATGAACATTGTACACCTAAGTTATCAAGGTTTAATTTAAGAAGCAAGCAGTAACCAAGCAGCAACCAAGTTATCAGACTCTGATTCCAAACTAATAACGTGATAATCGAGCCAAATAATTTAAGCAGACTCTGATTCCAAATATAAGAGCGAGCAGCAAACCGAGCATACAAAATCGAACAKCAAACCRAGCATACAAAGTCGAACAGCAAACCGAGCATACAAAATCGAACAGCAAACAGAGCATACAAAATCGAGCAGCAAACCGAGCATACAAAATCGAAGAGCAAACCGAGCATACAAAATCGAACATAAGAGCGAATCGAGCATCAACAGATAAAAGCGAATCGAGCGAATCACGATTAGGGTTTTGGAGGAGAAAGCGAACCTGTCGAAGGAGAGAGTGTGGGTTTTCTATTACAAGGGTAGGCAGGTCTTTTTGTTGGCTTAATGTGGACAAGTGATGATATTGGTCTGTGTGAATAAGCCCCTGTCTGGGCGAATAAGCTCCAAGTAAACAGCCTCAAATGGCTGTGCGAATAAGCTCGTTTATCCGGTAAGCTCATTAAGCCACAAGTAAACAGACCCTTAATGATATATAAAGTGGCTTATTCAATAAGCTTCTAAAGGAAATCTTGATACAAAAATGCAAGTTTTTTCCAAACCTACATAACCCTGTCCAATTAAAAAACACGTTATTCCATCTATGAAAAAAACCCCATGAATAAAAACCTTTCGATCTATACAATCAGATTAATTCATACACACAGCTTTATCCATTTAGGACTTAACATAAAAACAAACAAACCCTGAGATCTTTTCAATCTATCATAATCTAACTTTATCTTTAAGATTAAGCATCAAAATTTATCTTTGTACTAACTACTAATCATAATAAGAATAAAAAAGAAGACAAAAATCATTCACCTAACAAAGTATTATATATTTTGGAGGAAAGTTCAATTTTGATCCCTGACGTATGTAATTTTCTATAAATGTGACCTTGAAGTTCAAAAACTGAGATTTGGTCTCTCATTTTTGTCAATTTTCAACGGTTTTGGTCCTTTAGTCTAACGGTTGTTAAAATTTTCTGTTAGGTGCGATTAAATAAGGGGTATTTTTGATCATTTTCATTATTTTTTAATTTTATTTTAAAACTAAAAAAATTATATTTTTAATTTTAAATCATAAAACAATGAGCTTTTTTAAATTTTAACATGTTTTCATTTTTTTTTTCACTATTTTCACTAATTCCATTTTACAATTAAAATTAAAAACACAATATATATTTTTATTTTAATATAAAACTAAGAAATAGTGAAATGACTAAAATACCCATCATTCAACTAGATTTAACAGAAAAAGTGAACGGCTCAATTAAACTAAGGGGTCGTTTATCAAATACTTACCCGGTAAGCGCTTATTATGGTAAGAGTCGTCGCCCTCACTTACCAGGTAAGGCTCTTGGTCCTTGTCTCGTTCTTACCGGATAAAATCTTTGGTTCTTACTATATAATCCGGTGAGTTAATGTTATTTGGCAAGCACTTATCCGGATAAGCGTTTGGTAAACGACCTTTGAGAGACTAAAACCATTGAGAATTGGTAAACGTGAAAGACCAAATCCGAAATTTTTGAAGTTTATAGATGATACCCGTTGAAAATTGTAAAACATTAAGGACCAAAATTGTACTTTACTCTATACTTTAAGTATAAAAATATAAATTGGTTTTATTTATTAAATATAAAAAGAAAAGACAACACCATCTTTATTCCCATATATATCGGCTTCATTGTTAAGTATTAACGTAGCTCACCAACATAGGAAAAATGGAGCACATCTTTTCGTATTTTGAATTAAAAATGGTTTTTTTTCAGGAAACGTGTTATATAAAATAAGATTTAACGGGTTTTCGATATTATACCAGTTGTTTTTTGTGATGAGTGTCGGAGAAGATGATTATAAATGACAATTTTGCCCTTTATTTAACAAACAGATCTTTTTTTGTTCTGGGTTATTTTTATAACAAATATGTTTCATCTCGAGAGCACCCGTGAATCCCTTCTCTTTTTCTATTTCAGTAGTCTTATGCGGTCTGGTCTTTTTCATCAGTGGTTTCCATATAAATCTCAATGTCGTCACCTGTTCTTAGTTTACTTCTATCGTATTTCTTAGGGCACCTTTCTTGGGGTGGTTTGGGGTGGGGGGAAGGGGTTTATTTCATGATAAACCCGCCTCCCACTCGGTTACAGAATTTCTTCACTTTACACACAGACTCAGAAGGGGAGGTATAAAAGTTTGAGGCTACAGGGGAAACAAACACGTCAAAGTAAAATGGTTCATTACCTTGGCTAGTTTGCTTAATCTGGACCAACCTCGAGACATGCCGATTCAGTACAATATTTATTATTGTAGAATGAAACTCTTGTACGATGTATGAGTACGCATTAATTGGCAAGAGCTTTCAGTGGGTCATATAACAGACATTCAATGTAAAATCAGGTACAATGACGTGAATATCAATCGTATAACATTCAAATATCAAATCGGATGAGTGTCTTGTCCAATTGAAATCCTGTAAAATACGATGTAATCTTATAAGAATATGTGAGAGAACTGAGTTGCAAATGTTCTAGAAATGCTCATAGAGTTGTATATTTATAATAATTTTACCCAAATGGTTAAAAGGTGAACCTTTCATTATATACTATTTGTGTACCCGCGCAATGCGGCGGGAGCCATGAATTTTAACGATTTTAGAGTTCCACTGGTTTTATAAGATAAGATTTAACGATGATATAGGTTACACTTGGTCTTTACATATTAATACAATTTGAATAAATAAGAGTTATGGTTCCAATTACAGACTATCGATGAGAAAAATTGTATGACAGTTTAAAATCCAATATATTTAAAATCCAACATATTTAAACGCTCCACAAATGTATTCGATTTACACCAAGAGCAAAGAACCAAGAAACTTGAGTTTTAGATAAACACTCAAAACCAATAAAGAAAACTATAAATTTGACATATCAAAAGCCATGAAAAAGACAAAAAAAGATGGATTTTAGAATGAAATTTCAACTGCTTACTCTCTTTCTTGTCCAGAATCTCATATTAAGATTGAATTAATATATGTATATATATATATATATATATATTTCAAAAAAAAACCAAAAACATATTAATTCAAAACATATTATACAGTGCAATTTAGACAGTCTAACCCCAAAATATATAGTATATATATATATATATATATAAATAACTATAAAAGTATAAATCGTAAATATTAAAAATATTTTTTCACAATATATATAATATATAATAATATAATTAAGTCAAAAACTATTCAATATTGGACTCATTTCGAAGGTATTAACGAGACGATTATAATTGTATAACTTGTTAAAATAAAAATGTATTTTTTAAACATGTTTTAATTGATATACGATTATGTATGTTAATTTGATAAAGGTTTAAAATGAAACATTTAAAAGTAAATGACGTAAAGTAAATTAATTAATTAATTATAGGAGTATAAAATGTAAATTTAAAATTATAATTTTAAAAAAATCGGTTGTGAGGGGGTGAGTGTATGTGAGGA